AAGATTGCTTTCTTTATAGGGTCATAAAAAGTGTAGTATAAATAAAAAGTTACACAAAAACATGAACAATTCTTTTAAGGAATTAGATGGAATTAACTGGCTTTTCATTAACCTCATTCAATTGTCCAACAGTATTGGAGTACTAGGAGTCCTTGTTTATTTATTATTTAGCATTTTTAGCAAATAAAGTATTACAGATGGGCCGTGTAAATAAAAAACCAAAACTTGAGGTCTGAGAACTGAAACCACTGGCCATAGTACTACGGAACTGACAGATAAAACTAATAAAGATCTGGTTAATTAAAATCAATAAAACGACAGCAATGGTTTTTTATTGTTTTACAACATTTTTGACTTATGTTTATATTGTTTTCTTCTCTATTAAATAACCAATGGTGTTGGTTTATTGTATTTAATATCCAATTTACTTAAGTTTAATTAACCCTCGTGCGATAACAGCTTTATTTTGACTTGCCCAACTTAAATATTCTTGCAATAACACATATTAAATTTTCACATGAAGCCTCTTCTAAACGAGATGTCATTTTTTAATAAATATTCTCCGTATAGTTATTAATTGGACAGTAAAATTTTAATTACGTGTGAAATCTCAAATCAAATTCTAAATATTAAAACGATTTAATATCACTTGTAAAATATTTATGATTAAATTTTCCTCCTTTTAAAGTTTATTAATTTAATTAAAGTACAATCACGGTCAATAATTGTGTCATTAAAGGTTGATGAAATTTTGTTTTCAGTAATTGCACTAAACATAAAATATTTTACTGTCGTACATAACTCATATCCTTTTATGTCTGGGAGATAGTTTATTTTAAAACTCTGGGAAAGGTATTGGCTATATAGACTCAAGTGTACCACAGGGCTTTCACTCTGAGCCAATATTGTTTATTATATTTTCTAATTTTATTTGCTCGATCCTTTAATAAACTTATCTATGATCTGACAATCGAAAAATAGCCCAATTTTCTCTTTGGAAGAATGCAATCATTACTAGGAGGACGTGATAATCTTCCAGACTTTGTCGTGAGCGTAATAATTTTAAATTAAATGAAAATAAATGCAAGGTCTTGGACTTGGACTTTTTTTTTCTGACCTTACTTTATGCATTGGCCAAAGAAATAATTATATGAAACCCGATGGGACTTTGACTTTGAATTTTCCAAGAAAAAGTAGCCAATGAACCTTGTTTTTATGTAGATTTTACTGGCCATGACTTCATAAATGTCTTCCTTCTTTTTCCTATGTTTAACATAAATTTTTCTCATTGTCACTCGTTTCACTTTCTTTATGATACCCTTCCTTGCTAATCTATAGCTCTTTCTCATTCAATTAGTCACTTTTTCTCTCTCTTCCTCTCCCTATCTCTCTCGCTCTCTCTCTCTCTCTCTTTCTCTCTGTTTTCTTTTCTTTCTTTCTCTATTTCTTTCTTACCTCCCTCTATCTACACTTTCCTCTCTTTCACTCTTCCTTACGTGAAAAACTCTCTCATTCAAAGACTCAATCATTCCCTTTAATTCAGTCATTTATTCTCTCTCTCTCTCTCTCTCTCCCTCACTTTCTCACTCTTTCTTTCTTTTCTTTCTTCTTGTCTTTATTCATAAACAATATTTCCTTCTTTCCTTATCTATTTTTCTCTCCCCCATTGGCTTTTTTATTTTCTTTCTTTTTGTCTTTATTCATAAACCATATTGCCTCTTTTCCTTATCTAGTTCTCTCTCCCTCACTTTCTCACTCTTCCTTTCTTTTTTTTCCTTTTGTCTATTCATTAACAATATTTTCTTCTTTTCTTATCTAACTTTCTCTCTCTCACTTTCTCACTCTTTGTTTCTTTTCTTTCCTCTTGTCTTTATACATAAACAGTATTTCCTTCTTTTCTTAACTAGCTCTCTCACAATCGCTCAGAGGCCACAGTCCTGCTCACTCTCTCTCACTCTCCCTCTCTCTCTCTTTCGCATTCTTGTTTCTGTCTTTCTTACTCTTCTCTCGTTCTTTTCTTTCTTTCTGTCTCTATTAAAAAACAAATCAATCTATCTATCCTAATTTTTTTCTATGTCGCGTAATTTGACCTGCTTGAACTTTAGTATTATAAATTGTTTAACAAAATATAACATGAAATTGTCCGATTTTTTCGTAGGGTACGTAGTTGTATTTTTTTGTACGGGAAGATTTTTTACTTGTCTTGGCAAAATATCTATTACTTAAAATTCTTTTTAACGGATAAGAATCTCAGCCTCGTGCATAATCTTCCTCCTTAACCGGGAATGTATTACGGACAGGCCTTGAAATTTTCCCCCCTTTTATCGAATCGCGTTGAAAGCTCGATATTTTTTAAGAAATACCTTTCTTTACGTAACAAGTCACTTTAGTCATAAAATAAAAAAAGACAGCAGCGCGTTATATATTATTAGCCACTTTTGGAATAATGGTACAAACTGCTTTTTATTGAACAATTATTCTCACTTACTTTCAAGTTTTTTTTTCTGCACAGGCAAATTATAGTAGGTTAACCATCCTGACACGTTATTTTTATCGTGAAAGAATCACCGACTGAACACGCACTGAACGATTACTGTTGAACTAGGTAAGACTTCAAACCCATATTCTTTGCATCTTGACGCTGAGCTCAGGTGTTTGTGGCAGGGATAAACTGCTATGTACTACATTACCCCGCAAACATATAGAAACATAATGAAATTTTTGGTATTTTCGGAGTACGACCTGTTTTATGTTATTAAAAAGGTTTTGCCGTACAAGATAAAACAAACAGTTTTGTTCAATGTTTTTCAAAACATGGTAGACCCCTTCCACTCCATAGTTTTCCCAACGTGTAGCCCAGACTGTATTATTCTCCAAGTATGTCCAGACGTTTTCATGGCTAGTCTCGTCTTTTTTTCCATTCCTCTATTGTCCATGGTTGGACCTCACCTCCTCCTTCCCTCACTCTCTCTCTCTCACTCTGTCTCCCTCTTCCTCATCCTCTCCCTCTCCCTTTAACAATCTCTCTATCCCCCTCCCCCTCCCCACCCTTTCTCACTCCCTCCCCTCCCTCTTTCTCACCATCAACCCTCACCCTCCCATTCTCTTTCCGTCCCTCTTCCTCATCATCGCCCTCTCCCTTTGTCAATCTCTCTATCCTCCTCCCGCACCCCTCCCTTTATCACTCTCTCTCTCTCTTTCTCTTTCCCTCTTCCTCTCCCTCACCCTCCCTTTCTCTTTCCGTCCCTCTTCCTCATCCTCTCCCTCTCCCTTCGTCAATCTCTCTTTATCCCTCTCCCCCTCCCCCTTCCACATCCCTCCCCTCTCACTCTCGCTCTCTCTCTCTCTCTCTCTCTCTCTCTTCTCTCTCTCACACTCTCTCTCTCTCTCTCTCTCTCTCTCTCTCTCTCTCTCTCTCTCTCTCTCTCCTTCCATGTTCCTCTCCCTCACCCTCCCTTTCTCTTTCCGTCCCTCTTCCTCATCCTCTCCCTCTCCTTTCGTCAATATCTCTATCCCCCTCCCCCTCTCTCTTCTTCCCCTTTGTCCTTTGTCTTTCTCTTCCTCCCTCTTTCTCTCCTTTTCTCTCCCTCTCTTCTCCCCCCTTTGTCTTTCTTTTCCTCCCTCTTTCTCGCTTTTCTCTCTCTCTCTTTCCCCCCTTTGTCTTTCTTTTCCTCCCTCTTTCTCTGCTTTTCTCTCCTTTTCTCTCTCTCTCTCTCACTATCTATCTATCTATCTATCTATCTATCTTTCTATCTACTTATCGCTTTATCTTGCTATCTACCTACCTCTTACTTTCTCATTCTTTTTTATAAATCCCCTCCTCCTTTTATTTATCCTATCCTCTTCTCTTTCTTCATAAAAAGTTTGTTTCCTATATCTGTAACATTCGCATTCAATTACTCAGTTTCTCTCTCTTTCTTTCTTTCCCTCTCTATCTCTATTTATATATCTACCTATCTCTTTATCTATCTACCTATATCTAATTATCAATTTAATCTATTATCTATTATATCTATCTGTTTGTTTATTCATTTATAAATCCCCCTCCTCTTTTAACTCTACCTTTCCTCTCACTATATTTCCCTTTCTTTATAAAACCCTTCCACTCTTTATTAATAACTCTCATTCAATTAATCAGTCTCTCTCTCTCTCTCTTTCTCTTTCTCTTTCTCTCGGTTTGCCCCTTCCTATCACTTCGTTTCTACCCTCTACATCCCTTTCTCCATATATCTTTACATCTCTCTCATTTAATTACTCAGTCACTCCTTTTTGCCTCCTTGTAATTTATAATGGTCCATGAAAGCGGTGGTTCAGCGCGATGATTTTCTTCCTTAATGGATGTTGATGAGTCTGAGTAAAGAATCGTGGCCTGAACGACTAACTATGACACAACAAAATTAACCGCGTAAAGAAAATTGAGAAAAATTACCGTCCGATGATGACAAATGATATTTTGTAATGATAATCGATAGAACATCGGTTTAAATTTTCTCAACTCAGGTGACAGAGATTCATTGCCTTTTATAATTGTGTGTATTGTTTTGTTGTTGTTATATTCTACTGTTTCTGTTCTTGTTTGTGTTGAGGTGCTCTTTATGCTTAGAAACCGGCGTCTGGCTTTACGGTGGAGCTCTTTAGGAAAATCTACAAACGAGAAACCAAGCCCTTAATTAACCATTTTAATCTTCTTGCAAAACGGATTTTTCCCCTTTTCCCCCGTACAGCCCTTTCATTGTTTTCTAAAAATTAATTTATTTAATTACGATGTTGTCTCACAATGAATAAACAAGTATAAAAAGAATTTCTCGTTTCTTATTGAGGCCCGTTGTTTTACACAACGAGCCATTACGATAATAACAGGCTTGATTGTTGTTAAATCGTTTAATTTTATTTAATCGATGTAAAAATTTGGATTTGTATCTTTATGTTTCATGTATATTTGAATGTAAAAAAAGGCTTTTCTTATTGAAAACAACATTCAAATTTTTTGTTTTTTGCAGATCGCTGAACTGCTAAACATGCTGGGTCTTAGCCAGGATGCGGAAACCCTCGCTGGAAAGCTGTCCGGAGGTCAGAAAAAAAGGTTGTCTATTGCGCTTGAGCTGATAACAAATCCTCCGGTTATTTTTCTCGACGAACCCACAACGTAAGTATCCAAGTGGACAAACCACAATAATTGACCGGTAAAATATCGTCAATTATCGTTTAGAGAAAATTGTTTACAATTAAACCATTCAAAAGCGGAATGTTTTAATTTGAACGTGTTGAAATGTCATGGGAGATCTATTATCTGAGGTTGTTTACATCGTGTAATAGTTTAGTTAATCTTTATTAGATAAACCTGACTAATTACGAAAAAAAACGAAATTTAAACTTCCATAAGTTAATTTAGATATTGTAACAGACTAAATCAACCAAACCTAAAATTTTTCAACATTTCTCTCCGAATTAAATCTCTCTTTGTGCTGAACCTACTGCCTAATCCGGCTTTATCCCTATTTTAAAAATGTTCCCCAAAAACGGGATGATGTATTATTTAACAACCTGAATTAAAATTTATAAGGACACGGCCGCTTAAATCTTTCATTCAGAACAGTCATACTGACAATGTTGTTTTCACCCAATAACGTAATTTTCCAATTAATTAAGTTTATGGAATAGTCGTCGATCTAGGTGATCTACAGCACAAATTATACCAAAATTTTATTATAGTCCAAAGTCTAATTCTCAATTGTATTCGATCTAATTCACTTTGTAAGTTACTTCAACCTTTTTTTTCATAAAGCTCCCGGTAACTCATAAAATATTAATCTTGCTGTAAATTTATTACATTATTGGAAAGAGCTTTATCCCATACTCGTTTAATTATAGCAGTGGTATCGAAAAACCTATACGATGTACCTGTTGCCATTATTTTTATGCATATCTGATTATGCTGATGACAGAGCTATTTGACATAGCCATACTGACCTTGTTGCTGTGTCACCCAATAACATAATTATCAAATTAGTTAAGTTTATACAGGGTGTCCCATGAATAGTCATCGATTAGGTGATCTACAGCACAAATTGAACCAAAACTATATTATAGTCCAAAGTTGGATCCTCAATTGTATTCGAGACATTTCACTTTTTTGTTACTTCAATCTTTTTTTTTTCTATAGCGTTCCCGGTATCTCATAAACTATTAATCCTGCTATACGAAAAAACCTATACGATTTACCTGTCGCCTCTATTTTTATACATCTCTGATTATGCTCATGACAGAGCTATTTGACATAGCCATACTGACCATGTTGTTGTGTCACCCAATAACATAATTATCAAATTAGTTAAGTTTATACAGGGTGTCCCATGAATAGTCGTCGATTCAGATGATCTACAATACAAATTGAACCAAAATTTTATTATAGTCCAAAGTCTGATTCTCAATTGTATTCGAGACATTTTCCTTTTTATGTTACTTCAATCTTTTTTTTCCATAGCGTTCCCGGTATCTCATAAACTATTAATCCTGCTATACGAAAAAACCTATACGATTTACCTGTCGCCTTTATTTTTATACATCTCTGATTATGCTCATGACAGAGCTATTTGACATAGCCATACTGACCATGTTGTGTATTCGAGATATTTCACTTGTTATGTTACTTCAACCTTTTTTCATAAAGCTCCGGTATCTCATAAAATATTAATCCTGGTGCAAATTTATTTGATTGTTGGAAAGAGCTTTATACCACAGTAAATTCAGTTAACCAGTGGTATTGAAAAATATATACGATGTACCTGCTAACTTTATTTTTATGCATCTAAGATTATGTTGTTGACAGAGCTGTTTATCGCTTTATCCTTGCTGTCCATGTTGCTACCTCACCCAGTAACATTATGAAATTAAGTTTATACAGGGTGTGTGAGCTTTATCCTACAGTAAGTCCAATTATAGCAGTGGGATTGAAAAACCTATACGATGTACCTGTTGCCTTTATTTTTATACATCTCTGATTATGCTGTTAACAGTGCTGTTTGACGCTTTATCCATACTGACCATGTTGCTATGTTACCCATGCTATGTTGCTATGTACATAATGATCAAATTAATTAAATTTATACAGGTTGTCCCATGAATTTCGTCACAGTAGTTTATTCTTCATCACAAATTGAACTAAAATTTTATTATAGTCCAATGTCTGATTCCCAATCGTATTTGAGATATTTCACTTTTGATGTTACTTCCACCTTCTTTTTTCATAAAGTTCCCGCTACTCATAAAATATTAATCCTGCTGCAAAATTATTACATTATTGGAAAGAGCTTTCCAACCTACCTACCTATGAAAACAATGCTTGTAAATGCCAGGCCCTGAAGATGATCTCAATAAAGATCGAAACGTTGGCACGATAAAGAAAATGGTTTTCTGAAACCTACATCACACCAGACCGCACCTCACGATTTCTAAATAAATATCGATTAACGGTCACTAATCACCACACATCTCTGATTATGCTTTGACAGAGCCGTATGGTGCAATCCGATCACGAGACAATAATAATAATTAATTAACTTCGAGCATCGCATTTTTAAAGAATTTTTAGTGCAGGGAGATGAGCCAAAAATTTCAGGGTCTGCGGTGGGAATCGAACCCAAGACCGAGGAGTCCACGAGCCGGGAGGCGCACTCCTCGACTACCGCGGTCCTCACGGTTAAAATAACCGAAAACATGAGGTTTGATTAGATTTGAACTCACTGTTAGTTTTTTTTACTACAAAACATTCTAAAACAAATCAATGTATGTCAGAAGAACCATCATAGATTATGAAACGAGGATGGTATAAAGGGTTATAGCGGTTCATGGTAGTAAATTTTTGTTTTTGTTTTGTTATACAAGTACATGTTTGCCATATTTCTATTTTTGACAGAAATGACTTGGTTTTTTTTTATCTAGGTTAGATTCTATAATGGTAGATTTTGCTCTCTCTGCGTACGGATTCTCTAGTTAATTATTATTCATTTTGGACCGTATATAATCGCTGTTTTGTTCTCGTTGTTTGTTCACCAGTGGTGTTATTAGATGTGGTTGTGCACTCTAGACGTGAAACGCACTGAAGCTGGCGAGAAGCTGAACTGAGTCTACGGGTCAAAACAGGGTGGATAGGTAGAAAATAATCAACAGAAACGACCAACTACATGATAATATGATATTTTTTCTAACTTGCGAACACTGGATCAAGGTGAAGAAGAAAGCAAATTTAGTTGTTTACTGCCAAGCTTTAGATCGATTTTAAGGTCATCATCAGGGCAAAATAACCTTAAATATCTCTGCCGATTGAAAATATTTAAGTTTTTACTGGGGATCTAAAATTTCGTTCAAGACCGACTCAGTCCAAAAATTCCCAAGGACCGAAACAGTATAGATAGATATTTTTCTAATGATTGTTTACGGAGGTTATTTACAAAAATTCATAGTTATTTTTAAAACAATAAGCTTTTTATAATGTGCAATTTCTCCGTGTGGTCTCCGGGGAGATGGACCTATAATTTCGTCGTTTCTGAGATTTTTTAACCTATTACGCAGTTTTGATCGACCAATGCGTTATACCACTATCTTTTCCTCTTCAGTGTTGAGTTTGTCAAAAGCATGAACGTTGGCTGTTCAGATTGGATTTCCTGTCCAATGAAGGTGGCGAGAAGCTGAAACGAATAATACAGATCGAAACAGCATGGATAGGTAGAACAGAATCACCAGAAACGACCAAATTACATTAAAATATAATATTTGTTTCTAACGGTTATTTACGATAGTTATTTAACAAAATACATCGATAAAAAATAAGATTTTTTTTATTATATTTTAACATTTCTCCGTGTTTTCTTCAGGGTGATGAACATGTAATTTTGTCGTTACTGACCACTTTGGTCTGCCTACCTTCGCTGTTTAGATCTATCAAACGAGTTTTACTATCCCCCTCTTCAGTGGTGAGTTCGACAAAAGCATAAAATTGGGCTATGCTATCTTGACGAGAACCGCCCGCACAAGTAGAAAAATTGATCAAACGACTAAATTACAGAAAGTGTATTATTTGTTTCTAATGGTTATTAACGTAGATTATTTAATGAAATTTCTCCCTGTGGTCTCCGGGGAGATAGACCGGTTATTCGGTCGTTACCATTTTGATCTGCCGATCCTTGCGGATTTTTATCTATCAGACGCGTTTCGGCATTTCGACATCATCAGTGATTTGCTTTCTTTCTCGCCTTAACAAAAAATGACATAATCTTTTGTAAAAAATTTTTAACACAAATTCATCGATATTGTCAGTTTTTAATGGGAAATCTTTATCGAAATAGCAGTTTAGCAAGGCAAAATATTTAAAAATTTTGGAACAGACCTTAATAATTTGAATGTAATTTACCCTAAGGGGGGATTTATTGTACCTTTCTGCAAAGGAAGCTAATAGAAAAGGATCCTAGGAGTAAAGGAGCCAATTGAATCTTCTTTGTGTGAAGTCCCCCATTAGATGTTGTTAATGCTGTAGGCCTGTTTCCCATGAATCTCTTCTTCAGTAAAAGAAGGATTTTTGTGATACTTTGAAATAAAAGAGACTCAAGTGAAAAAAAATGCAAATAGACAAATGCGCGAATTGTATGTTATTTTCGATTAAAGCTATTACTTTAATTTTAAAAAAATATGTGTTTGTATAAAATATAGATATTTAAAGTAAGATATTGCTCAAAAGAAGCATCGAATCCAGTTCAAAAAGATTGGTGAAATCTTTGTTTTTTCATTAAATCTATAGCACGTCGTTATTAGCTCTCAATGAGATAAGAAGAAGAAGCTGCCGGACATTCTGTGGGACGATTATTGTCTTAATACCCTCCGGAAAATTGAGGTTAAACGATCCGAGATATTGAAAGTGTCTTCAAGCTAAACATTTCCCAACAACGAAATTCACTCCTCTGTATAGATTTTGTTTTTCTTTTTGGTCTGCTTTATTATTATTTTTTCCTCTGTTCATAATAGCGCAAAAAACACTAATTAAAAATTACGTGTGCCACGTGAAAAGCGGCTTTCGCTTCCATCGGAGGGTGGCCGTTACATTTTCACGCTCTGAAGTTACTTGTAATTAACGTTATACGTAACAACAAGCGA